GCCGGAGCCCAGCAGGTCGAGGCTGCGGTGGCCGGGAGCGGCCACTGCACTCCAGTCTGGGTGACAGAGTGAGACTCCAACTCAAAAAAAAAAAAAATTAGCCAGGTGTGGTAGCTTGTACCTATAGTCCCAACTAGTCGGGAGGCTAAGGCAGGAGGATTGCCTGAACCCAAGAGGTCAAGGCTGCAGTCAGCTGTGATTATACCACTGCACTCCAGCCTGGGAAACAAACTGGGACACTAATTCAGAAGAAGGAAACGGAGAAGGGCTTTGCTTTGTATGTAAAGCTTTTCCTGAGTTTTGAATTAACTAGGTTCAGCATATGATGTTATAAGACACACACACGTGCATATTTATGTACGTATTTATGTATTTATACGTATGTGTGTTCCTTTTTTTTCCTGCTTACTTTCCACCAAAATGTGTGAGAATACCTCATGTAATACCAGTCAGGGCTCTGTTTTAATAAGCAGGAATGATTGCTGAAGAAAGCATGTGCATTCAGAATGTAGTCACTCCCCAGCCACCCCAGGCAGCCACCCACCAGGCACGGTGAAGCTTGAAACCCAGAAATAACACACATGGCACACCGGCTCAGGAGCCTTTTCTGGGATCTGCTCTTATCCTTGTCTCCCATCCACAGATGCCATACCGTTAATAGATAGCCTCTCCGGCTGCCCGTGTCTGTCTCACTCTGATTTGAAATTACATCCAGAGGATATCATTAGCATAAGGCATCTCCTTGGTGCCAGGTTGAATAAGGATGATTGAAACAGGGCCTGAAGCCCTCTCAGTGGAGAGAGACACGGAGGAGCGGCGTTTATGGAAATGTTGGCAAATACGTCCCCACTGCGGCCTGCCCAGTGACGGATAATGCAATGTGAGCACCGGACAGGATGGCGACAGCTGGAGCAGGCATCTTCTTGGTGATGACAGGTGCTCTCAGGCTAGGGCAGGAGTCGTCTAACACTCTTTGCCTCCCTTTTCTTCCCTTTTGTTTTTTCCTGCAGGAGTCTGGGTCTGTGGTGCTTCTCTAGTGTTTTCTTTATGGGCAGAAGACGTTTTCCATTAGACTGTGATTCTGCTGGTGAAATAGTGTTGAGGGTGATGACTCTCATTTTTTTTTTTTTTTTGAGTTGGAGTCTCACTCTGTCGCCCAGACTGGAGTGCAGTGCACCACAGCCTCGACATGCCGGGCTCCGGCGATCCTTCCGCCTCAGCCTTCCAAGTAGCTGGAACTACAGGCACACACTACCACGCCCGGCTAATTTTTGATTTATTGTAGAGATGAGGTCTCACCAAGTTGCCCGGGCGGGTCTCGAACCCGCGGGCTCAGGCAATCCACTCATCTCAGCCTCCCAAAGGCGCGGGATTGCAGGCTGAGCCACCGAGTCCGGCGATGACTCTCATTTCTTAAGGGCTTTCTGCTTACCAAGCCCAGGCTAGGCACTGCATATGTGTTACTTCGGTTATTTTTCGAAGCGATTATGGGTTAACTGCTGCAAACGTCCCCCGGGAGCAAGACTTAAGAAGGCGGGTCTCACAGCGGGCAAATGATGGAGCCTGGTTTCAGATGTAGATCTGTCTGCACCAAATCCTATGCTCTTGACTGTGTGCTCTGCTGTGCTGTGCTGTAGCAGTCCTTAAGCTATCCACAGCCAGCCCGTAGACAGACGTCAGAAGCTTACACTAATGCCAAAGCAATGGCAATGATTATGGGGCTCTTCTTGAACATTCAGAAAAGGTACATTGATTCATCGTTACATTAGTAGCCTACCCTGTCTCAAAAAATAAAAACAAAGGAGCCCTCACAAAAAAGAAGGTACTTCGAACTTTCAAATCAGATAGGCTGGCCAGGTGCACTGGCTCACACCTGTCATGCCAGCCTTTTGGGAGGCTGAAGTGGGAGGGTTGCTTGAGCCTAGGAGTTGGAGACCAGCCTAGACAACACAGTGAAACCTCATCTCTACAAATCATTAGCCAGGCATCGTGGCATATGCCTGTAGTTTTAGCTACTCAAGAGGCTGAGGTGGAAGGATTGCCTGAGCCCAGGGGGTTGCGGCTGCCGTGAGCCGTGATTGTGCCACTGCACTCCAGCCTGGGCAACAGAATGAGACCCAGAATTTACAATTTTAAGAAATCAGATAGGCTGTTTCCTATTGAGGGACTAGGAAGAAGGAGAGAGTGCTATTTAAGAAAGAAGAATAACCCTAAAACAACCAGTGAGAACAACTAAAAGAATGAAGATGACAAAAGCCATTCAGCAGAAGTAGGGCCACGCCCACCAACTTCCTCTTGAGAATGGACAGAGAAGACCAAAGCAGTGTCCAGTGGCCTGTGCCCAAGTAATCAGCCCCTTTCCAAGTACTGCTAAGTTTCAGTAATGAGTACTGTGTCTTCAGCTATTAAGCAATCACCAGGGACAGCACCTGTGACTAAGGGCACGTGTCTGTGCGTCCACATGGGATCCTTTCCTTCCACAAAACTCAGCAGTCCCATCATTCTAGGGCTTTTATTGTTCATAAAAAATGGCTTTTCCCGGCTGGACTCAGTGGCTCAGCCTGTCATCCCAGCATTTTGGGAGTCCAAGGCAAATGGATTGCTTGAGCTCACAGGTTCGAGACCAGCCTGGGCAACTTGGTGAGACCTCGTCTCTACAATAAATCAAAAATTAGCCAGGTATGGTAGTGCACGCCTCTAGTTCCAGCTACTAGGAAGGCTGAGGTGGAAGGATTGCCAGAGCCCAGCAGGTCAAGGCTGGGGTGGCCATGAGTACGCCGCTGCACTCCAGCCTGGGCGATGGAGTGAGACTTCAACAAAACAAACAAAAAAGACTTCTCCCAAGACCAAAAGGCAACCACGTTTCTCCACATAAAGTAGCAGAATAGTCAAAATACTGCCTGGTGCTCTCCAACATGGTAACTTCTAGAAGGTGGGCATTGCCCCAGCAAGTCTTTGTGACAAAACACTAAATAAAGACTTTGCATCTTTGTGCAGGGCAAGGTTGAAGCTGAGTTCCACCTCGTTACAGCAGAAGAAGCTGAGAAAAATCCTGTCGGAAAAGCCCGGAAGGAGCCAGAGCCCTTGGCCAAGCCCAAGTGAGTGGAGGGGTGGGTGGAACTGTCCGGAACGGGAGAGGACAGCGGGGGATGTGGGTGTGTCTACGGGGGAGCCCCCTGGGAGACAGGGGAGCCAGGAGGCAGGCAGCAGTTGCCTTCACTTGGGTTGCCTCTTGTCTCTACGACTGAAAAGCATTCTAGAAACAGTAGAGAGAGCTCGGCAAGAGGAGGCTGGCTTGTGTGTCATGGCGCATGAGCATTCTAGAACCATCTTGTATTTTTCCTACTCGTTTTTTGAACCAGGAGGAAATTGAAACCCTAAGCAGACCAATAATAACCCACTAATTTTTATGGGAATATGACTTTCACGTGAGTTTCCTACTCGTCCTTTCATGCATACAAGATTGTCTTAATGTTCTCTTCGCCTTTACTGAAAAGTTTTGCTTCGCTGCCGTGGTTGTCATCATTAGAATTGAAATGGCTGTGGAATATTCCATAGACCTGGTGCCCGTCATTGACTTGGTCATTATCCCATCACCAGAAATTTAATTTACTTCTACATTTTTACACCTATGATAATATAACGAAAATGTTTTTCCTTTATAAATCATTCCTTTAAAATAGATTTCCTGAAGCAGAATTACTAGTCAAAGGGTTTGATTCATACTTTACTCAATCTGATCTATCAATTAAAAATGTGAATTCTAGCTGGGCTCGGTGGCTCAGCCTGTCATCCCGCGCTTTGGGAGACTGAGGTGAGTGGATTGCCTGAGCCCGCGGGTTCGAGACCTGCCTGGGCAACTTGGAGAGACCTCATCTCTACAATAAACCAAAAAATCAGCCGGGCGTGGTAGCACATGCCTGTAATTCCGGCTACTTGGAAGGCTGAGGCGGAAGGATCGCTGGAGCCCAGTGGGTCGAGGCTGCGGTGGCCGGGAGCGGCCACTGCACTCCAGTCTGGGCGACAGAGTGAGACTCCAACTCAAAAAAAAAAAAAAAAGTGAATTCTTATACATATATAATACTCTTCAAATTGTATTTGTCTTGTTCCTCCCCAAACTCCAAATGTCTCAAACAGAGTGGTCTCGTCTCTGCACCTTTCATCTCTCATGGGTGCTTATCTACGCACTGTTCAAAATTATTTATTAAGGTCTACTAAGTGAACACTTTGGAGGACACAAAACGTAAGCTATGCCTTCCCGGAGCTTTTAATCTACTTAGGGAGAAATAACACACAGATAAAATAGTTACCAGAGTGCAGGAGGCCAATATGTCAGTTTCAAAAAGGGGGTAAGCCAAGTGGTAGGAGATAGATGAGATAGGAACCCGGAGGGAGGAAAGTCACTGGGGCTGAGGTGGTCTGGACAGGCTTCACGGAGGAGCTGGGGTCTGAGCTAGGCATGGCCGGACAGAGGGAGGGTGATGGGGCCTTGGGCAGGATCCTAACTGGACTCTTGCCCTGCTCCTGAGCGAACTTTAAAATGATGCAAAAGTCACCATTGTCCAAAGGTTAGACTACTCCTGCATCAGGCACAGGTCTTCTTCCCCCATCCCATTCCAAGAGCTTTTCTGGGATCCCAGAAAGCAGAATCCCGGTGTCGGCAGCACGACCCCTTGCCTGATGCTCTCTCGTCCCCCCAGCCGCCCGGACACCTCCTTCTCCTGGTTCGTGAGCCCCTTTAAGTGCCTGTATCACCTCATCTGGAAGAACTACAAGAAGTACATCATCATCGGCTTCATCCTCATCATCCTCATCATCTTCCTGGTGCTTTTCATCTATACCCTGCCGGGGGCCATCAGCCGGAGGATTGTCGTGGGCTCGTAGAGCAGCGTGGTAGAGCCAGGCCACCGTCTACACTCCCCTCTCCTCTTCCTCATCTGGCGACATCGGCACACACGTCCCGCGCAGGGCACTGTGCTGAGTGTGAGGGACAGACGCAAAGCGCCCAAGGACCGGTCCCTGTGCCCAGGGACGGGCCGGTTCCTCTTGGAGGAGACAGGAAAGAGACATTCCTCCTCTACCCAACCCCGCCACCGTCTTTCTAACCCACAGGCCTTGTCGTGTTTTCGGCCATGAGCAGCATGCAATAAGGACTCTTTCACCTCGGGGGAATCAATGGTGACGTCAGGTTGACTTAGATAAATGTTTCCTTTGTGTAATTGGTGGTTTAATTCTGGGTCTGAGGTTTTATTAGAAGTACTTTATTTAAATAAAAATTCACAGTAAAGAGACTGAAAACACTGTAGCCAATGAGTAGATCTTGAGCCCACCCCCTACATCTTAACCTTGTATAATCCTTACAGTTTACAGAACACATTCACTTATTCAGGCTGTGAAGCTGGCTTGGAGAAAATGTCATGCAAATCATCTAAAACACATCATTGTTGAACTTCCCACGTGGAGACGAGAGATGTTGCTGGTTTCCTGTTAAAGTCAACACTTGTAGGACATGGTCAGTAGCAGTAGGTTCTAGAGAAATCCATCTTGATGTATGCTCTGTGGCAATTTCCAAGTGGTAATTTTACAATACGTTGTAAGACGTGTGTATGTGGGGGGTGGTTAGGGGACCTCCAAGCTACCAGCCGGAAGTCTCCTTTACCAGTGACACAGGTCCCGTGGTGCATGGCGCTGCCATAGACAGTGACCCAAGTGGCCACCCTGACACTAGTCAGCACTTAGCCTGACCACCATACATGGCAGATTCCATCATGAACATCAAGCACCAATGACTTTCAATACCAATGCGTAAACCATAGCCACAATATCCTGTGCACTTGTTAGATGGGATCAGTTTTGCTTGAAAGAAAAGCTCTCTGATTTTCATCACAGTCTAGACCTTCTGCCCTCCTTAAGGCAGGAAGTTGGAGTAACGTGCAGGTTTTCTCGGGTAGAATAAGGAAACAGAAGGATTGGAATGTGTGGCCTCAATTCCCACGAAGCATTTTTGGCCTCATACACATATATCTATGGCAACCATTTCTTCTTTCTATCATCAGGAGCCAGTTGGAGGCATGAGGAGGCGGGGTGCTCTTGATATCAGAAGCCCCAGGGCTACTGTTTTCTGTTTTGTTTTGCTTGATAACCCTGCACAGGTGCAGCTTGTCTAAAGGGAAGATGTTCATTTCTACATAGAAGGTCATTCTGGAATGTTAAAGAAAAATGGAAGAGCGTTCTGAGTGATCTTAGACCTTAGCACTGCTTGCTGAATTCTGGCCCTCCGTGCTCACTCCCTCGTAACTGTAATGCCCTATTTTGCTGAAATGTTGAAAAATAAGGCACGACTGCATTGGCAATGCTTCCTTAGTTATGCTAACTGCAGTTCCTTCTTACTGTTCCATAGTGTGCCACCATCAGCAATGATGTTTTCGAAGAGACTCGGTAGCACGGAACATATACACTGAATGCATTGTAAGTAAGAAAATCATACATAGGTTAGAAAACCATATGTACAGCATGTTGTAAAAAGAAAAAAAAATACATGCAAACAAAAATATGCCAAAATATGCAAACAAAAATATGCGAATAGTGATTATCTTTGAATAATGGTATCTTTTGTTTTCCTTCTTGTCTTTCTGTTTCTCCTAAAACTTCTAAAATATAAGCATGTAGGATTTTTAATGGAGAAAAATTAATAAATATAAATTGATGTGTGTTCCTTTAAAATATGTATTGAGAGTCTTCCATGTTCTGGGCACTGGGGACACGGCAGAGATAAAACAAGCATAGTCCCTGCATTCTAATAGCACCCAAGATATTGTTTTATCTTCAAATTATGGGTCACTCAAGGAAGGAGCCAGATAGGGAATGCTTCACGGATGACATCTAGGAAGACGCACAACACACACCTCGGGCACTGAAAAGGAAGAGAACAGCATTGTTGAAGGGTAAACTTGGGGACAAGAGATGATACCTTCTGCTGGATTCTGAACAGGAAGATGGCAGGTGAGTTCTTGACAAGGCACGTTTTTCAAATCCGTAGTAAACACGAGCTAAAAACTGGAAATCCTTCTCAGTCAGAAAGCCCATCGGCTTTCCTTGGTTGTCAAAGGAGTCCCTAATGCTGAAAGCCCCCAGCTGAAGCCCTGGAAGCACTTGGGGATCCGATGGCGCCCTGAGAAACGTGTGGGGCGAGAAGGTAGGCAAGGCTGATTTTGGAGTCGCTGGGCCTAGTGTTCTATCCATGGCAACTGCGCATAGGCCTACCCTACGTGCATGTGAAATATACATAAAATAATGTCCTGTGCCTAACTGTGCAGCTCTGGCCCTAAAGATATTACAGTTAACAAAAAATAAAATAAAATGAAAAAATAACTTCCCAAGAGAGAAGTTGTCGTGGGTGCCTGCTTGTGTTCTGAGATAAGATCAACTTAAACGTATTCATTTGACAGCTTAGAATTTTCCCTACAGCTGAAATCTGTTTCAGAGAGGTTTTGTTTATGTATTTTACATCATTCGAATCTTTCCCCTCAAAGAAAACAAAACAAAATTGATACCAGCAACAAGTAACACACCGCAGGGCAGGATTCCCACTCCTGTGTCGCCAGTGGTTGAAACATGTAGTACCTTTCTTGTTCTTGGCCTTTAAGACACATACATGGAAATTACAAGACCTCTTCACACCTGGGGTCGTATGGTGCTTATTTATTCAACAACTATTGAGTTCCATCCTTATTCCAGGTGCTGGGATCAGCACTGGGTACGAAAGTGTGCAGCTAAGATCTGCACACAAGTGTGCAGACTTGTGGAGCAGAGTTGGATGGACAGAAGGCATAAGCCAAACAACCATGCACAAAGATCATCACAGATGGACGTACTGGTCGGGAGCCGAGTACCAGGATGGAGAGGGCGTCTCACACAGGGCCTGAGCCCAGGCTGGCAGTCAGGGGGAATCCGGGGAGACGAGGCTGAGAGAGACAGGGAAGAGGAAGGGGACCCAGACAAGACGGTGCATGCAAAGGCCCCAGGTGGAAGGAAGCAGGCAAGGTGTGCCCCAGGCACAGTGGTTTCCCAACCCGGAAGCCATTTCAGCAGAGCATCGAAGGTTGGTGGAATGGTTATAGAATATGGGGGGGGTGCCCCGATGCTCTTCTTTCGGGAACAGCATGTGTCCATTTGCTGTGCAGCTCTCAAGGGTCGATTCTTTCAGGAAAAAAGAAGGCTCCATCTGTCCTTACTGACTGATTAAAGTCCTCGCACACAGCGGACGAGGCGCTTTCTGCGCTGGTGTCATGGGAGTCTGAAGAAGAATGGGCATCTCTGTGAGAGGCAGAGGGTCCTGAGGTGGGCAGGAAGGTCATGGAGGGGCAGGACAAAAGCCGAGCAGCAGTCTCAGGGAGCTGGGATGGGGGGGCGGGGGATGGGCGGCCTTCCGTCTGGCAGCACTGGTGGGAACCAGATTCCTGGCCTTTTCTGGCCTCCAGAGGCTGCCACATTCCTTGGCTCCTGGCCTCCGGGCTCCGTCTTCACAGCAGGCAATGTTGCATCCTCCCCGCACCTTTCTTCTGTAGTCATGCCTCACTCTCACCACACCCGGAAAATTTCTCACTTGTGAGGCCGATGTGAAGACAAGGAACCCAACTGGATAAAGTCCTTAACGTAAGTCTGCAAGACCCTTTTGTCATGTCAAGTCGCATATTCATAGGTTCTAGGGATTAGGGCACTGATTTTTTTTTTGAATGGCTGAGGGTGCCATGATTCTGTCTACTGCACTGACCCCCTCCCAGACACGGTGGTACCCCCACTTGGAAGTCGCACTGAAGGTGGGTGGATGATGGTGGCATATAAGGGGAGGCGCCCCGACACGTCTCTCGGGAACAGGATGTTTCCGTTTGCTGAGCAGCCTCTCCAGGGGCAATTCTCCCAGAAAGAAGGAAGGATCCGTCTGTCCTTCCTGGCAGATTGAAATCCTTGCGAGCAGCTGAGGCGCTTTCTGAGCTGATGCCACAGGACTCTGGGTCCTCCCCTGCCCCTGCCTCCGAGTTTCCAGCGAGCCTCTCGGGTTCGCCTCCTTTCCCGCAGCGGCGGGCAATTCCTTCACAGTCTCGGCTCTCCCTCCGTTCTGGTCTTTGTTTTCCCTGGCTTAGAAAGGGCAATTTGAGAAAAGCATTCCAGCTTTCTGAAGCATTGTGTGGTTTCTGAATCATTGTACTAGTGGGAAGAAAACGGGTGTCGGGAACTGAGAGAATGGCATCGAAGCTCAGCACAGCCACTTATCAGCTGTGGACCTGGAGCAAGGTGTTCAGTGACTCTGAATCTAATTGTCCTGACATCTAAAGTGAAGACGGTGCCCCTCTAACAGGGGGTGGGGCATGCACGGCGGTGGCAGAGGCTGGGCTGGGGGCAGAGGAGCACTGAGGTGGTGTCTAGCGTGCCATCTCCCACATCACAGGTATCGATTAAGGGCCACTTACTGCCCCAGGAGCAAACAACAAAGGCTCCCTTGGAGCTGTTAGAGATTACAAGACCATGCCCATACTTTCTGCTGTCCCGACAACCCCATTTTGTAGAGAAGAAAACAGTTCCAGGGGCTGCCATCTCCCCCAGCTCATCTGGGACAGACACAGGACCAGGCTGCGACCCCTGTCCTGCACCTCTGCTTTTTCCCTTGAAAGAGGCTGTCACAAAAACATGGAACCAACCCTGCTGCCCATGGAAAATGGACTGGATAAAAAAATGTGGTACATATACACGACGGAGTATTATGCAGCCATAAAGAAGGACAAAATGGTGGACTTCACAGCAACTTGGATGGTTTTAGAGTCTATCATACTCAATGATCTATCACAGAAACACAGAACTGAGCACCACAGGTTCTCACTCATAAG